TAGGGCCTTCTGACTTCACCCTGCTGTGCCTGTGTCCCTAGCCCTGAGCCAGAATCACAGATCCTGGCAGAATAAGCCAAATAAAATGAGGATATAGGAGAAGCAGCTTCACATATCCATAAATTATTCCTGGTAAGGTGACAATACACAGCAGCTGGTTAGTGGTAACTGCCTATGTTCAAGTGATCACCTTCCCAGTAATAGATGGGGAAGACGCTACTTGAACTACAGACTCACAGCTGGTACATTTACAAGAGCCTGGAAATCCCTAATGCAGTGTCTCAGGAGCACACACTAAAAGCTCTTCCTCTAAAAAGAATTCACTTATGATACTGTATAAGTTGCACTGCTATCAAAATGTTAGCAACATATAAAAATACTTTCTCCTGCATACACTGGAAAGGACCTAATCACAGCTCCTACCTGAGGCTACCCAGGAAATCTGTCTGGCTCTTTTTCAACAGTATAATCCTGATGCTTATAATCCCTAAAACACAATCACTCAAGAAATGAATGTGAATAAAATTAATTTTAGAAGTAATTACTCAAGCCAATTTTGACATATCTTGAAACTCCCAGCATCGCTGGTGTCCTGCAGTCAGATTAGGGGAAGCTTATATATAGATTAACCTGTTTCACATTAGGTGCCTGTAGATTTTATCCTTGAAAGCCAATTATCTTGACTCTGCTCCACTGTTCTGATTGCCAGGATATGTAAGGAGAGACAGTCTCATACACTTCTAAATTCAAATCAGAAGCAGCATATGGGACTCATTTTTAAATTTACAGAAGTTTTCACCAGTGATAGATCAAATCAATAATTTTCTTTACCAAGAATATTTTTTTTCACTGTTGAAACTGTAGTTTCGAAACAGCAACAGTTCAGTTACCATAGCCTGTGCTTTGCAGATGGATTAAGCCTCCTAATTTCCTCAAAAGTCAAGTCACGCAATCTTCCAGAGCCATCAGTTGTCCTTTCCACTGTTTCATCATGCATTAGGATGGGAACCCCATCTGCAGTAAATTCGAGATCCAGCTCAACACCCGTTGCTCCATTCTCAGCTGCCTTAAAGAAAAAAGAAGAAGCAAAATCACATACACAACAGGAGAAAGCTTTATAGATATTGAATATAGGCACAGATATAATTTGTATTCTGGCAAAAAGAAAAAAAAAAGATAAACTAGTAATGTTCTATTCAGTAAGCTTGCTCTGTGGAACAAAGTAGGTTTTATTCAAGTTATTGCAAGAAGCATTCATAGATCAACTGAAAGCATATAACTTATTTTACCGCTAAAACCACAGTGCTAATGTCTCAGTCTTGGGACTGGGGCTGTTTCAAGATGAAAATGCAGAAAAGAATCCTGCTTTCTCCTTCTGGTCTAATAACCCCTGAGTCCTCTGTTAATTTTGAAGAGAGAAGGGAAGCAAATGCCTACACTTTAGATAATTTATGGATTAACACTTAGAAGTCAGAGTCAGAGCAGGCCACCATAGTGCCTGCTTGCACAAGGAAAAGTTATTACCCCTCTTTCTATGGCACACAGGTGCAGTATTTCCTGTGAGAGTCAGATTCACCACTCACATGCAGTATGGTCAATCCACCATACACAGTAGATGAAAAACCACCCATAAGCACCACACACCATGCTTGTACTAAATACTAGATGTATGCAGGAAAATCCATGCTCCTGACTGAGGAATGCCCATATTGGAGAGCAATAAGCAGCTGGGCTGCCTTAAAGCATTTCATACATCCTGCTCCTCCCCTGGCTCTTTCCCAGGAACTCCTCAGAAGCGCACCCAAGTGAACTGCAAGCAAGTTGAATTGTTCTCAAGGGCAAATGCCCTCCTGGGAAAAGGGCCAACACAGCAGAAAGACAAATGCCAGGCATGTAACCCAGAGGCTACACCACTAGAGGTTACTCCAGAGGTACCTGCCAAGTTAGTATATTGCACAGCTTCAGGCTTTGTCAGAAGAGCAAGCCTTGCCTTGCCCAAAGGTAAGAAATGATCAGAGCAGCAACGTCCCATCATCACAGGTACACTGCGTTGAGAGGCTGCTAATCACGGTTTCAGATGGTTCTCAGAAGCACCTTCTGAACCCTGGCAGCACCACGGTGCCTCGCAAATGAGGCAGCAGTTAAGTTTCATGGCAGGGCTGTACCAGTGGAGTTCTCACAATATCAGATCTTGCCGCGACTGCGGCTTCTCATTACAGATCTTCAAGGCTGAGACAGCAAACAAGCTGTTACTAGATTGCTGTCTGCTCTCTATATTCTGTTGCAACATCAGCAAAACACAGTATTTCATTATTGCTACACTGCTAAAATATCCACCAGCTCCCCCGAGTCTCGAACCTGACCAAACCGTTCTGATCCCGCTCCGGGATGAAGGACTGACATCCATACACAGCTCCCCGGTGGCAGGTGGAAGAAGCTGGAGTTACTCAGCGCGAGGAGGGCTTGGTGCCTGCTGAGAAGGCAGGTCCTCAAACAGACCCCACAGGCCCGTAGTGCTGCCCACCTACTTCTGCCTCGACACCGGCCTTACGGGGAGACGGGCTCCCGGGCCTCGCCCGCTCTCTGCAGAGCATCGGGCAGCTTCGCCTCACACTTCGAACCTCGTCCGGGCCCCGCACGTCTCTTGGCGGCTGGGGCCGCCGGGTCGGAGAGGAGCGGCTCGGGGCGCAGTGAGGCCTGTTGGATGCTGACCTGTCGGATGGCCGCCAGCGTGTTCTCGGGCGCGTCGTGCGCGCCGCCGCGGTGGGCGATGCGGGCGGCGGTGCCGCGGGGCCGCAGGACGCGCTGTGCGCTCTGGGGCGCGGCGGGCTCCAGGCTGAAGAGGTGCAGCGCCAGGTAGAGGCCGGCAGTCAGGAGGCCGGACAACGCCGGGCTGCGGCTCAGCGCCAGCGCCACCACCAGCAGAGCCGTGAGCGACCCCAGCAGGCCCTCCCCGCGGCACAACATGGCGGCGGTGCCCGCCGGGCCGGGCCGGGCCGAGCCGAGCCGAGCCGAGCCGAGCCGAGCCGGGCACAGCCGGGCCGGACAGCACCGAGACCGCGAACACGCCTTGGGGCGACAGCGACAGCAACACCGCCCCGCCCCAGCTCAGCCGCCAGCAGCCAATCGGTGCCCGCCGCTCCCAAGCCTGCAGCCAACCAGCTGTCCCCGCCCCCTGCCGCGCTGAGGGCCGGGGGAGGCGGTGGCGGGAGCCCCCCCTGCCCTCAGGTAATGGTCAGAGCAATGGTGCGAGGTGCGGGGGGTTCCAGGTTAAGCATAAATGTGATAGAGCTAGCTGTGTACGCTGTGTAGCTAACTGTCCCTCACGCCTGCTTGTGGACACAGTGTTCTCACCGGAGAATGGATAATTGGTGCATGAACTCTGAATAATCCCGAAAGCAAGGCCATGAGAGGCCCGAGGAAGCTTCAGCAAGCAAGATAAGAAGAAGCTGGAATTCACCGAGTTCATGAGAACTGTGGACTGTTGGCAAGCTTTTGAGGTCAGGTTCTCACACCTGTGCTTAACCAATTATATGTTAGTCACTAAGGGTCTTCAAGACGTGTATCCAATCATAATATGCCAAATCACTGTGTTTGTGAGCAATAGTGTGTTGCAGCTTTGCAATAAATGGCTTTTGTCTGATCACATTGATCTCTGACTGAGTCCATATTTTTTCTGCGGCACCTGCTCCCAAGCTAAACCCGAGACTAAACCCCAGTGCTGTGAGGAGGGCCGAGAGCCCGAGAGCCATCCGACCGACAGACCCACATTCCCTCTGCTCAGGGAGGTGTCTGCTGGAGAGGGATGCTCGCTCCTGGCACTGTTGGTGACAAAAGGGAAGAATGCAGAGGAAAAAGCAACAAGACAGGGAAATCGGTGAAGCTTGAGGAAACTGGGCTTGTTTGGTACAGAAATAGAGTGGCAACGCAGAGGAGATAGCAGTTTGTATTCACATAAATGAGGATTTTGAGGTTTTTTTTGTGTTCTCTGTGGGAAGGATGTGAAGAAACTGACTGCAGTGAGGGGCTCTTGCCAACCAGAAGTGGAATAGGCACCAGGTAATCTTCTAAACTGGGTATATATATATACATATATTTGTCACATATTGTCCTACCTGGTTCTGAGCATCTTGGATATTCTTTTCTGTCCTATGGCTTTGTGTTTCATCCGGGTGTGTCTGAGGAAAAACCTGAAACACACATGCAGACACATACCATAATGGAATGTATAATTAAATGTCTTACATATTTAGAGATCTCTTGATAAACAACAGCATTTGTTGGGATTAAAGACAAAGATATAACCCCCCTCAATGATGTTTAACCTACTGAAGAGGTAACAGATGGAGTTGTGTTTCTGAAACAAGAACAGCACCTTTAACACCCCGGAACGTTCATGGGGAACTAGATGTTAAATTCATTGTTCCTGGGCCTGTTGCTGGCAGACAAATGTGCATTTTCCACCTGACTTGCCTCCTGGATGAGTATTACCTGCTCCTCAGCTGGCAGGACCAGCAGCTGCCTGCCGCCCGGGTGGGATGGGGTGACTGTCTGCCATGACAACCTGATGCTGTCCTCGAAGAGCGTATTAGCAACTTCTCATGTTCATCTTGCTCATCACAGTGTCTCTGGTGGTACCAATACTTGCTAGTGACAGTCTGTGGTCCAGGTTGTACTAGAACTGTCCAGCCGTGTGATACTTGGTGTGATAAAGCAGAAGAAGCTTCACCCGTGCTGATAGGGATCTCCTGGAAACTTATGGGTGGGAATCCCTGGGAATCAGTCCCGGGTGGCCCTCGGTGCCACCTCACGCCTCTGAACGTTGGAGCTGCCGTTGCCCGGGAGCTGTCCCGCGGGCGCAGTGATGTGAGCAGGTTTGTGGATGGCGCTCACGCCCTTCCCCAGACCAAATCAAGAGGTTTTTATCCTCAACTTTGGGCCGCAGAGAGGACAGCCCCGAGCTCGTGTGCCCGAGCCCGCCCGGGAGGAGGAGCGGAGCGGAGTGGGCCGCAGTGCGCGCTGGGGCCTGTAGTGCTGTGGCGCCGGGCTCGGTTGCCGGGAGGCGGTGTCGCTCCGGGCGGCCGGGCAGGGCTGGGCCTCCGGGCCCCGAGCAGGTACCAAGCGAATCGCCGTGAGCGCGGGCCCAGCGCAGGGCCCAGCGGCCGTGGTGGGCGCGCTGCCGTCGGGCGGGGAGGGCCACGGGGCCCGCCGGTGCCACAGGCCTCCCGGAGCCGATGTCGGGCAGGGCGGCCGAGGGGAGAGGAGGGGCCGCCGCCCGGGCTGTGGAGGGCTCGGTGCGCACGGGGCTGTGGGAGGACGGCGGGCAGGCAGAAATAGGCTGAAGGGGTGTGCGAAGGGAACAAAAGCGTTGGCGGGCCTTGCCAGGAGGTGCCTGGCTTTGGGTTCTGACTCCGGTCGGCATGGGCAGTGTGAGGAATGTCGGCTTCTGTAGGGAAACAGGGCTAATTTAGGGTTTTGGTAGAAGCATTGGCGTGTGTTCGTACAGGCATGTATGAAGGAGGAGGCTCGTGGGGTTGAGACAGAGATTCCCCTAAATATAAAGGCTGGTCTTGGTTTAACACCAGCATTTCTATGTATTTTTTTACTGCAATTTTATTTATTCATTAAAGTTGATGGGATCTGTCTGATAGCTGTGGGAGGCCTTAGAGGTTTAGTCTTGGGTGGAAATGGTGAAGATTGTCTATGGCATGTGTACTTCTGTAAATCGATCATCTCTGTACCTGTGATCATAATTTTTTGCTCATTCATATTCTATTTTTATATGGGAAAAAAAAAAGAACAGCTTTTCGGCTTTTGTTAGTGATAGGAAGAAGAGAAACTTACTTGGGTTTTCTAATGTATCATTTGTTTCCCAGAACAGAGCAATACAGAATTAGTTGTGATACTGTTTTCCCTTCGTGGTCTTGGAAGTACATGGAAGTGTAATGTTATTATTCTTTGTAGCTTAGTTAAAATGAAGATGGAGGATTATGAAATATTCTGTAAGAAGCATCTTGCCAGAATCCAAGAAGAGGCACTAAAAAGAGAAACCTCTTTCGCTATTCAGCAGAAAAATATCTCCCTCATTCAATTCCATGGAGTTCCTGTGCTTTCTCCTCTCGTAAGGGCTGTTATTTATTTATTTTTTATTTTCTTCTCTGGTGTGCTAACTTGTGCTATTGGCACGAGCCTTGATGTCTTCATGTAATGATTCTACTGAAGGTACAGCTCTGTGTGAGGTATCATCTAGTCTGCTCTTTATTCTAGGCATTCTTAGCTTTAATATTACAAAGTAAAGGGGTAAAATGTACTTTTTTTTACATTGACTATGTTTGCTTTATTTTTTTTAAATTTGTTCTCTTCAGAAGGGGAATAAAAGTGTTTGTGGTATTAAATAGATGAATATTACTGCTGGGCTTGACTTCATAGAAAATCGTATCAACATTCCAAATGTTGAATACATGAGGGTTTTTAAAAGTGTCACAGATACCCCCCAACAAACCCAGTGCAAATAGGAAATACTGGGACACTTAAAAAGCTTTTAAGTAAATTTCTTTTTTGCATGTGTTTGCAGCTTCCTCTAATGTATTTCACAGGCTCATCAATTATGTTAAGTCATTCTATGGTTAATGCAAACAGACCCAAGCAGAAGACTGTTGGTAGTTTGTGCAGTAATACAGCTGACTTCCTTGTTTCAGTGATGGGAAGTGAATGGAGAGACTTTCTAACAACCATGTCCCAAAATCAGGATACAGATATACATCAGAGTAAATGGTGCATCTTAATACTGTTAATTTACAAATGAGTTGTTATTTTATGGTTTCATAAAATAAATGTATCATTTGACTTGATACTATTAAATGTTGCAGAACTTTGTGAAACTAATTTTTGTAGCTGTATTTTGTAGATCTACTTCTGACTTTTATCCAAACCACATATTCTAAAGTTGTAACTCAGAAGATTTTCAGATTCTGATTGTTGAAAGGATCCAGCAGACTGCTTGCATACATTTCTTTCTTGTGAAATTCCCCTCTGGTTCAGGAGGGCACATGTGGGCTAGTCCTTCACATAACTATTTTGAGTACAGGTTTGAGTTGCAGAGGGGCTCCACAGGATGGCCAAACTTACCACCTCTATAGAGGGCTGAGAAAGACCTGTCCTGCAGTGTCAGTCCTGTGTCATTTGAAGTTGGTGCTATAGCATGTAATGTTCATGCAATGTTCTCATAAACAGCCTCTTAAATTCATGTTCATTTGCATGTGTGCCAAGAAGGAGTTTTGTGGATCTTCCTTGGAAAAAAAAAATATATATAAGTGGTTAAAAAGAAACTGCCATTTAAAATGTGTGCAAAGTCTCGGGTGATCGTTATTGTTCTGTTGGATTGTTCTTTTGTTTTTCTTTCTAATTTATTTCTGAAATTCTGTATTGCAGTTTGCATTAGTGATATAAACCGTGTTTCTTACACTCTGTTTTGCAGCTTAGCCTTGAAAAGAAAAAGGAAATACAGCAATATAAACAGAAAGCACTGGACCTAGAGACCTGGAGACAGAACTCCCGGAAAAGAGCTTTACTGAATCGTGTTCAGGAGATTCTAGATAATGTTCAGGTAGCGTTAGTCCAAAGCCACCTTACAGCTTTACAGAAAACATCACCTTATAGGCATTTTGAGAAAGTGCTGGGGTTTAAGTATTCACCATGAAATTAATAGCAGTTAACTCTTCAGAAGCAGTATGTGCTAGTACTTCATGGTATGTGACCTGATAATGGATTATTTAGTGATAATCTCTGCATTCATTATATTGCATGGGACTTGCTTTTCGCTGCTTTTGTTGGTATATGCAAAAGGCACACCACACCAGATGAATAACTGTTGCTTTTGTAGCTGTGTTGAAACAACTAAATAGTAAAAACAAATGAACATCTTACCCCTTCCACATGTTAGAGCTTGCTGTAGTTGCATGCTTACAGTTTAATTAGAAAATAATCTATAGTCAACTTTACAGAATTACAATTAACTTGCAATTCTGTGTACTTTGAATTTTACTGCAGCTGTTTTCTTCGCTGCTTCAATGACGAATTTACTAGCTGCTTAAATTGAAAAAGCTATTAAATACGTCTAATTGAGATACTATTTACCTTTGAAACAGTTGTGATACAGTCTTTAATTTAACCTGTGTCTTAAACAAATCCAGTTAACACTGGATTTGTTGGGTTGCTAAGGTGGCAAACAAAAGTTTGTGGTTTGCATTGTTAACTGAACTGTACATTGCAACATTCACGTGGCTTGGGATTGGAAGAGCAGATCAGGAATACAATACAAAAATAAGTTAGCCTTTTCTTTTTTTCCTGAAGGTGTCCCCTTAATAATTGAGTTGCAACAGACAGAATAACCTATAGGATAATTGCAGTGTGAAAATCCTTTTATCAGATGCCGGCTAAAAGTAGCATATAATACTTAAATAAAGGTGGTTTTTCAACTACTGTACAAGTCAAAACTCTTTAATTGTCCCTGGATTAGTGAAGAAATGAACAGGTTTTAGTTACACTATTTTTATTAGGAATTATATAGATTTGTTTTTAGTTATCTGTAGGTTTATCTATATTTTGTGGTGATTTTTTTCAATTACATTTCTTACTGTAAACATGTTTTCATGTTTTAAGAGGAATCTTGCAAGATATTTTCAAGCCATAAAATGATTTTAATATATCCAGATCACCTTATGAAGAAAAGAGCATTTTTGCACACTGATACTTATATCTGTAAAAATTCTAAGTGGATCATTATTCAAATTCAGATTTTAATTCAAATAATTAGTTTCTCATTGCAAAGAGCTTTGTATTTTAAGTAATTTCTAGGAAATTCGTAACAGTTGAACTGTATTGGTTTTAAGTGGTAGTAATCTTTTATAAAATCAGATGAAGCTTGCAGGAATCGGAGATTTAATTGAAAACGTGATATTTTTTAATTTTTATTTACAGATCAGGAGACGACCTAGTGTGAGTGATGTGAACACACAGGAGGCTGAGAATACTTGTCCTGATTCAGATGCAAAAGCTTCAGCTGACTTCACAGCTCTATCAGATGGCACTTCGGCATGTTCTTCTGAAAGGCATAGTTCTACAGTGCTTGAAAAGACACCAGATCTTAAGGCATCAGATGCTGTCGGGGAGGTGACACCAAATGTGACAGAAGTAGTTAAAGCAGCAGAAGAAAATGTTATTTCAAAGCAAAGTGAGAGTCACATCTCAAAAGGTGTGCCTTGTCCAAGGGCTGCGTCTCCTGACAATGTGCATAATAAGCCTGCTTCATTTGCTTTGCAAAAGCAGGAGGCACTAGGAGCGTCGCCGTCAGATGAGGAAGTCCAAGATCCATATGTAATGAGTCTTCAGAACCTGATGAAGAAATCTAGGGAGTCCATAGAGAAAGAGCAAACTAAGCGTAGCTCAAAAACTAATTCAAAGAGGAGTATGAATGAAAGTCATTCAGATAAAGAAAATGATGGTGTTAAAACAGCTGATTCTGTGAAAGAAAGAGCAAAGCTTGCAGGCAGAAGTTGCACTGCTCTGACACTTGATAAGCCTAGTCTTAATAAATCAAATACTCTTCTCCAGGGTGCCTCTACTCATGCAAATAACACAAGTATGTCCACTTTATCCAGTTTTTCTAAAGTGGACATACCGATGAGAGTTGGAACACCCCCACTGGTGGATTCAGATTCAGATGAAGAATTTAAAAAGACTTCTATGTTTGATCGTGACAGTAGCATTGTCAGGAGCCTCACAGGCTCTTACGCCAGATTGCCAAGCCCAGAGCCAAGCATGAGCCCTAAAATGCACCGGAGGCGCCCAAGACCTTTATCAATGGGACACATAGTTATAAATAACCCAGTGAACGCCTATGAGTTGAGTCCTAAGGGCAAGGGTAGAGCGATGGATTTAATCATGCAAGATATTGCAGACAAAAACAATGTGTCCGAATCAGTGCCAAAGTTCATGGTGGACTTCACTATGGCTTGCCCTGGCAGAGTTCCTGGTGTCAACAGGAATTCTTCAGGCCCTTATGATGGGTTGGGAGTTGGCAGGCCAAATCGCTATTCCTTTGGACACTTCGAAAGCAAAGGAACATTGTTGACTACAGTGGAAGGACAGCTAGTGATGGACAGCAGAGGCCCCTATAAAGTAGAGACCAGCACTAATGTTGCTGCAAAACTGAATGAGCCATTTGTCAGCAGTCAGTCTACAGTCACACAGAAGCTCCTGACTGCAAACGAAACCAACCCATCTAGTCTGCTAGAAAATACTAAATGTAATTCTCCAGTAGAACTCAATAAGTCCTATGATGTAGAAGACCCATCTCCACTACTAACGCAGAGCAAGAATATGCAACAGCAGATGGACACTCCAAGTGTTTCCTCAGCACATGAGCAGTTTCTAGAAAATAGTTTTGAAAAGGTAAAACGTAGACTTGATCTGGACACTGACAACTGCCAAAAAGAAAACAGTCCCTGTGTTCTTACAGTTGGAATGGAAGAACAAGAGAAGCAGTGGTTGCAGGAACAGAAGTATCCCCTGGGATCAGTTTACATTACCAAGACTGCAGCCACTGACAATATGGCAAAAGGTAAAAGATTTCCTGTACTTGAAGCTTTTTCTTACACTTATCAGTTTATAAATCTTTTGGAAAAAAACCCAATGATCATTTGTCATTGCTGTTCCTAAGTATGTGCATATATCAAAAAAATTTTGTTGAGTGAAAAATACCTTTTTTTCAGTAACCTCATTACTTCCCTCATTTTTAAGTAATGACACATTCTGAAATTCAACTTGCTACGTGAGCTGTTTTTAACTGCTACAGGATGGAGTAATGGCTGTCTTAGGAGCCACTTGGAGTTAAAAGTCTTACAACAGTTATTTGTAACAAATACTTGATGAAACAATTGATGAGGAAACATCGGCTAAAACATTGTGTATCAGTTTTGTCAGTTCTGTATTCTCAGTGGTATCATTTGACAGCACAAATAGTAATTTCCTGTTTGAATGTAGAAATCTGAATTTGGTTTTGCTAAGAAAATCATGGTTTATTCCACGAGGTTTAAATAAGATCACTAAAGATAGCCTGTGTATATTAAAATACCTTTTAATGGGTTGCAAATCACTGTATAGGTATTTTGTTCAAATTCAAGACTGTTATATCTGTATGTGCCTCTAACAAATCAAGCTGGAGTGGCATAATTCACCCAAGCAGGTGCAGGTGTGCTATTCTTAGAGCTATTTTTTTTGTGACCTCATTTTACTATAGTCTCAGATGGAATTACTGCTGGTCCATTCATATGCTTATCCCACTAATGTGAACATGCAAATATTTTGAAGGACTGCAGTAACTGAGGTTCTTTGCAAGACATCATGGAAACGTGATATCAAGGTTCTCCACAATACGTAACGGAAACCTGACGGCAAAGATCTGTTGTACATTTTTACTGATGATGCAAAATCCTTCTATTAAAAGTATCTATGTCCATGGCAAAGATCATATAGAAATTATTTAATATTTGATTCTTTGTAATGTATCTTCTCAGAGGAGATTTTAAAAACTAAAATGTTGGCCTTTGAAGAAATGAGGAAGAGACTTGAGGAACAGCATGCACAACAGCTGTCGATTCTGATAGCTGAGCAAGAGAGAGAACAGGAGAAATTGCAGAAGGTAAGCTAAAAAGAGGAAAAATTCTAAGCAAAGGGCATGTGTGTTGTATTGCAGCTTGTCAGAAAGCAGTTGATGTAAAAATGTATGTTCTGTTGCTTTGTAGAGGTAGAAAAATAGTCTCATACTTGATTCTTTCTTTTGTAGGAACTGGAAGAACAGGAGAGAAAGTTGCAAGGGAAGAAGGTTGCTACAACAGAAATGGAAATTTCCAAAGTGAACATTAACAGTAGGATGGAGTTGGAGTGGAGGAAAAAAAGTGAAAGCAGCTTGCTGGAAAGTGTGCAGTCTCAGCTGGAGACGGTCCATAATGCAAACTCTACCAGCATTGGTAAAACTGACAGGGTAGAACAAAGATTAAATGTTGTGATATATTTTGATCTATAATGCTTGATGGGACGAGGTGCCCCACTGTATTGATAAAGGCAGTGTTCCTGCCCTGGAATACTTGTTGATAAGGATCATGTGGACAGCTTCTGCCTCCAGCTGTATCCAGCACATGTAAAACAAATTCTGTGTTGCATCTTTGTCTAGATGGCATTTAGCACGGTTTCAGCCATCCTTGTACTGCGCCATGCACTGCATTTGTTATATAATTGTTATAGGGCATATTCGAGGATAACAGGCTAAGAGAAAACTCATTTGGTCAAGGGTGTGCAAGTGGATATGCATCATGTCGCAGAAGGTTCATTCTCACGCCATGTAGCTGTACAGCAGTGTGACAGATGTTCTCCTTTGTGTAGAAGGATTAGAAGGGCTCTGCCAAGGGGTCTTGAATGCAAGAAAATACAGCTATAGCTGTTGGAACACCTCTCACTGGTTCCGGGGCATTATGAAATGTTTTGGTTTGTCTTCTGTTTATCAAATTTTGCTAGGAAATGCATCAGAAATACTCAGATTGCTTCTTCCAATTGACCTGGTAAACAAAGCTGCTACCTTGGAGCTGAGTGTATACACACACAGTCATTACTTTATGGACAAAAGTGTAGGTTGAACTGTGCTTTCTGCTTTGCATGCAGGTTTTGCTCATACTACAACACCTAGCACCTTCGCTACAACAAGTGAAACATCATTCTTTCTCTGGGGACCATCAGGCACTGGAGTTATAAAAACCTCCGTATCTAGGCCAAGTAACAGGATCAAAACTAGGTGGACTCAGGTAAAGAAAAAAAAAGCTATTTCTAGCTTTAAAAACCTGTAGTTCTTGTAAGTGGGTACTTCTGGCACAGCCAAAACTTTATCATAAGCAGCTTGTTTCTCACCTCAAAATGTTGGTCACATGATTGATGTTAGTTGAGTGAAAATGCATAATTCTTGGCTTTTTTAATCAAATGTTTAGAAAATGCTTTTATTTTCCTTTTAAGGTTTTCAGTCCCGAGATACAAAAGAAGTTCGATAAGATCACTGCTGTGGCAAAGGGGTTTCTCACTCGTAGACTCCTGCAGACAGAAAAGCTGAAACATCTGAAGCAAACTGTGAAAGTAAGATCAGCATTTTTATATTGTGCAGCTTCACCGCCTGTTTGGTTTTGTTTCTGTCTTCATGACACATGAAAAGATGCATTTTCTGCTTTCAAAAGAATTTCAGCATGTCTATCACTTGAACACGTTTAAGTATTGTACTGCTCAGTGTCATAAGGCCCAAGTCAAAGACTGTGTGTCCAACGCATACTGTTTGTAATGATTTCTTTGTTGTGAGGGATGATGGTTGGTGCTTAATCTTGTTTTGCTGTCTTCCCCAGGATACAATGGAGTTCATAAAAAATTTTCAGTCTGAAGCCCCATTAAAAAGAGGAAGTGTTTCTGCACAAGATGCATCCCTTCATGAAAGAGTCATGGCTCAGGTGACACAATTTAAGCTTTTTTTTTTCCCCCCTTTTTTTTCTTTCCTAGCTATTCTGCTTTTGTAGTGTAAATACCTAAAACCTTCAGGGTGACTTTATTTAAAGTAAAAACTTTAAAATATTTCTGTGAAGAGAAGATTACAGTTTTATGCTGACACATTAAGAGAGATATCAGAATTATCTTTTCAAGTGTTTTGTTTAGACTGAAAGCAGGAAGAGTTTGATGATCAAAACTTGACTCGTTACTTTATTAAAATGTTAATAAATGTTAATTATTCTTTCCAGCTGCGAGCTGCTCTGTATGACATCTATGACATCTTTTTTACAATGGAGGCATCTGAAAGAATGAATATTCTGCGTCATGATCGTGAAGTTCGTAAAGAGAAGATGCTCAGGCAAATGGTATGTTATATTCAAGAGAATGTGAACTGTTAAAGACTTTCAGTACTGAACCATTTTGCTTTTAAAAGGTTCTTCCTCAGCCAGTAAAAAGTTTTTAAAATCTAAGTTGTTTAATTATTTAAAAAAGTTTTTAAGATGTAAGTTGTTTAATTATGCTTTTTATTCGGATAAAAAAAAGGAAAAAGAGAGGTTAGTGCACTAGGAATTATTATGTTGAAACTTTTAATGTGTAGATGTATAAAAAGTTAGAATTAAAAACATGGTGAAAATAATAACAGAAAGTCCCTAACAAGAATTTGTTATGGCACACAAACCTTTTTAACCTGGGAATATAAGGGGCATCCTTGAATTTTTAAAAAGAAAAAACCCTCGAATTCAGGCTGAATGTGAAATTAGTACTGAAAACACTGTTGGTTTTGTCGGTTCTTTTGCTTTTTTAGGATAAAATAAAGAGCCCAAGAGAGCGAGTGACACTTTCAACAGCTACACAGAAATCTCTGGACAGGAAGAAGTACATGAAGTATGTGCAGTTCTCCTTTTGTGGTGGTGGTGGGTGGTGGTGGATGGCAAGAGGATGAGTAGGAGGCATTGGAAGTAGTGAAAAGACGTTTTTGGAGTAAGAGCTTTTTTGCAAACTAATGTATCTCCCAGGAAGAATGAATAAAAATCTGTCTGTGGGTGTGTGATGTCTTAGTGATAATAGTTCACTCTTCCTTTTAAGAGACTTCTTGTTTGCATGGGAGAAAAAATGTTTTTTCTAAGTTGTGCATTTATGTTATTTTCCAGTGGTGAGTACTTAGGTTATGGTTGATTTTGTAAATTGCAAAATTGTTCCAAGTGATTTTAGCAGTCTTTCTAAGCGCCTAGCAACAGAGATACTTGATGGAGTATCTCTGCCAAAGTTTTTTGAGGGGATGGTAGCAGGTGTTGTCCTGCAACACAGTGGACTGAACACTTGTGTGACACTTTCTTGAGGGTAAAAAGTGATAATCCGTAGTACTGCTGTAGATCATGTTGTAGGCTTTCTCTTACTGTTTCTGTTCAAGACCTAAATGATGATTTTATGATTTAAATATATTTCTATACTTTTGTTTTTCTAGGGCTTCAGAAATGGGAATGCCGAGTAAAAAAATAATCATAAAACAAAAAACTCCTGAAAGCCGGTGAGTGAAGATTACTTGTATTAGAATGCATTTAAAGAGCTATCGTAGAGATTCCTTGATCTGTGTTGCTGGTTTGCCATTGGTCAGCTCAGTTCCTGCCACTATTATGACAGCCAGTAATGAAATCTGGTTTAGCATGGGCTGAAAAGGGGTTTGTTAGAAGTTAGAAAAGATGCATAGAGTCAGTTCTGAAATTTTATCTTCAGAAATTATTTATTTATGGCTTGAAATGTCTGTGTTCAGGTTCAAGGTTTTTCTCCAAGATACACTATTAGTATTTCTTAAGCAGCTGCTCTCTTATGAGGCCTGTCTGCACCTTTCTCTAATATGAAAAGTCAGATATTTGGCATGCCTTAAAACCAATTTTTATCCCATGCTTACCCAAAAGCTTTGAAGATGTGCTGTGCTGTTTACTAACACAGTTCAATCTTCAGTGACTAGTTAAAGCTATTCAGTCGTATTTTCCTGTATGTTCTTATCAATACCTAGGACCCCAAGGCACTGTTGAGGACTTTTATCTGCGTGCTTTCTTGTGTCTTTGTTTTAAATAGCGGGAATAGTAATCCTATTCTGGAACTTTAATTCCAGCCACTTTTGCCTACATTTCATCTGCATTACAGAACCCATTGGTCTTTCTGAGATGTATTATGTGAAACATGATGTATGTTGGAATGTGGTATTCCTTATGAGTTTTGGGTTGGTTTGGTTTTATGGTTTGTTTTTGGTTTTTGTTTGGGTTTTTTGGTCTTTTTTTTTTTTAAAGAAGGAAAAAAGCACTAATAAAGGTTTGTGTTTTACCAGCGTACTTCAACCCAACCAAGGACAGAATGCCCCAGTTCACAGGCTTCTTTGCAGACAAGGGTAAGGGCACAGCATTTTACAGCCTGAATAAAGCAAAGCGTAAGAGCACAGTGATTTCTGAATAATATTTACACATACTGGTGCAACTGTTGTGCAAGGTAAAAATACTTCTCACAGTATTTGGAAAGAGTGATGAAGCTTTGTTTTACCTTATACTGCAAGAAAATAGTGTTCTCATCCTCTTGTGTATTGTCTCCATTTACACTGTGTTCCAACATTTCTATTTGTAACATTCATTCCATGAAGCTTCGCTTCCACGTAATGAAATATGTGTATTTTTATATTCAGTATCTGAACTGAATTGGTTTCTTGAATAGAGCTTTAAAAATCTGTTCATGGGGAGATGTTCTCCTATTTAATATATCTATGTAGGCCATAATAATATCAATAGGAATTGTACTCAGGAGGAGGCTCTGTGGAACACTGTAAAAATGTTTTCATGCCAAACACAGTTTGATAGTGTCTTTATATGTTTGGATACAGCCTTTAAACTTTGTTGCAAGTGACTTATTAACTCTTTTATATTTAATTAGAACCCCTAAGACCTCAGTGAAGGGGGTTGAGCAAAATAGAAAGAAGGCCTCAGAGAGCAGAATGTCTAACAAGGCTGTTTCAGGTGTGTAGAAAATTGGTGCGTGGATCTTACAGTAAATATGTTATTAGTATCTAGAAAAAGTAAATGGTCAATATGTTGTTTCCTTTTCTTGTGCACCTGCTTTGCTATGTCTGAAATCTAACCTATCTCTTTAAACAAACGCGCTGGTAACTTAACCATCCACTTTCAAATTCTATAAACATAGTATATAGAATGTGCAGCACAGCTCATTTGCTTTCACTCACCAGATGACCAGTCATAAAAAAGTTGGCAGGTATATTCACTCTAACTGTTTGAGAAGCTCATAGTAGTCAAAATGGATTTGTAGATTATTTGGATGGATAATGGATTAGAATCTTAATCTAGCATCCTACAGAATGTATTAGTGTCAAACCTTTTTTAATAAGGGAAATTCTTATTTATTACTGCCCTGGAGCAGTGCTGGCAGGGAATATCTCCAAGGTTTAGTGCAGTGTGTACTGTTTAAATGTGATGTTTTCCCATAGTGTTTGGTCTTTCCATAGTACTTTGTGAAGCCAAGAGAAGTGGCTATAGAAGGGTGTACCATAAGAAACTAGGCAAACACATCTGTAGCATTTCAGTTTGAAGAGGTGAAAATGAAAAAGCAAACATGGAGTTTATAAACAAGGTTTGTTAATTTATTTTTCTGTTCTAGTGCTGTCACCACTAAAGTGGAGCAAGGCAGTTGTTCATTTGCACTGAGTGACACTCCAGCAAAACTAGCAAAGGTTGTAAATAATCTCTCTGAAATATAAAGAAGAACATTAAGTAAGCAATGTAATTTTAACAACCAGAGGTAGTCATTAAGGGAAGTTTTCTTCTCCAAGTTTGCAAAACTGTGTCTGGTATTGACTTGTAAATGAGAGTGCTGAAGAAGACAACAAAACAGTCAATATGGGTACCAGTTACAGAGGTTGTAAAAGAGTAGTAGTGTAAGGGTAATGTCAGTGTCAGGTTCATCACTGGTTTGAGATTTGGATGCCATCCCAAATTTCATATAATTCATGCTCAGCTCATAATGACATGCAGTGTTTTTTACATTTGCCTCTGGCATCAGACCTCCAGTTAAAGCATTCTTTCTCTGTGTCGGCAGAGTGTGCTGCTCTGCTAATCTCCGAGTCTATTTTAGTCATAATTATTGAAGTCATAACAGCTGATACTTGGCAATGAAAAGATTGCTTTGGTTTATATCTCTAAATTTCTCTTTGCCTTTCCTTATTGATGTTTCTTGAGTACCTGGAAACCTGCATAATGCCTTCAGTAGTGGCCTTGGAACTTAGAGCAGAAGTGTCTAACCAACTTTATGCTGCCTAGTTCTGGTTGCACTACGTAACCTCATTTAGTGTTTGAACATCGTGTGTTCCCATGTTGTAATACCAATACTTCCATATGCTCCTTTATAAATAGGCTAGACTACTTGTATTAATAAAAATGAAATTGTTAGGTGAGGAATGCTTGGCATGAAAGAAATAACTTCCATAATTTTGCAATAATAAAAAGAACCGTAAGTTGAATGCATTTAAATAGAAATTGTTTTCTTTATACATGGATAAAATGTGAATAGTGAAGAAAGGCTTGGCAGTAAGTTGAATAGAGGTTTGAAAAGAGGATGTAAAAAGCCAAACAAATACATATGCTTCTCTTATTTTAGTAGAAGTTGTGCATGTCAGAAAACAAAGACTCGTAGCAGTGGCTTCATCCAGGCAATACAGAGATTTATTTATATCTGCAACTGTACTAGTCTGCTGTACTCCTAACCCATAATATTTTTAATTTCTTGTCTTCATTCATCCCTGACTCCCAGTTAAATTGTGTCTATTAGAGGGCCAAAAGGGCAGGAGGATTAGTAGAATACAGCTATTATAAATACATTCAAATTAGATACAAGACAAACCTTCAGAAGAAAACAATACTGTACTCATCCAACTCTTCTTCTTTTTTCTTCTTTCATTCTTCTGATAGTTTTAACTTCTGTCTACAGAGTGCTTTGTACCTTAATGCCACTCCAATTGGTGGTTGTCTTTCTCTGGCAAGAAGGCATCTCATTCAGGAATCAGCTAGTGGCCCTAAATTTACTTTTTGTTGTTTTGTACTCCTTCAAAGTTCTGTTCTAAAGAGAAAAGTAGAAACTGATAAATCTATAGAGTTTTATTTCTTGAGTTTTCAAAGAAGTACATTTTAAGTAGCACAGAGATGTTCAGTCAGGAGCCTGCAAGCTGTGCCAGGGTGGCATTTAATGTAGTCTGATTGTGTTAAAAAGGTGTTTGAGATCAGGCTGCTGCTACAACTAGACCTATTAATCTCCTTTGTTTTTGCCCAGTTTAAGTGTTGTGGAAAAGAGGGCATGAGGCGTATAGAGTATTTGGGTGGCCGAAGCACTTCGCCAAGTGTGGTGTTTCCCTCATGCCTGTCTCGGCTGAGCTGGAAGCAAGATGGCCCGTTTGAGATGGGGTGTGCTATGAAGTGTGTTGAATTGAGCCAGCACTGCAGAAAGGCGTCAAGCTTGCTCTGTGTGAACAGCAGGTCAATTGTATACCATAGGGGAGATGCCACTTCCCTATGCTATCTTCTTATGTGTGGGAGATTTTTATGTAACTTGGAGGAAAGTGAAGAGCTAGTGTAAAATCACTAACGAAGCATCATGCCTGTCAGCCTGGTTGTTTGTCCTGCAAGATCACAGGTGAGCTGAAGAGTACAGCACTGGAGAGTGTTGGGCCAGCACAAATGCCTTTTTGTGTAGTGGGAAACAGTGTTCAGATGTTAGGGATCCTGACAGGGTGAGGTCTCTGTGGGCATTTCCGAAGCTGCTCTGCACGGTGCTGAATGTGGGCCTCGGACAACTGTGAGTAACCACTGCAACTCTGACAAAGAGTAGCTGAAGAGCCTAAAAAGGACTGGCATGTACTTTGTTACATTCATTTATTTGCCTGGTAACTCTTTCTCTCCACGGCTGTCTTCCATTTCCACTGCTCTGCACCACATAGTAGGATTGTCACTGCTTTGTGTGAATGTCTTTGTGTGAGTGTCACACTGCTGGGCACTTGGGAGCTGCCTGAACCTAGTGAATGCTGAGTTGTGCTACTTCTTAGCAGCCTGCAGCGCTAAACCCTTATTAATGGAAGATATTTGTGCTATGCATAATACAGTACGGCTTTATAAATATATAAATCTGTGTATATATTTGTTTCATGGCAGAGATTTATTTGTTATTATTTTGATACTTGAGCACCTTCACTTTTGTAAGGGCCCTGCCTGATGACCATATTCATACTGCACTTTGTGTATATGGAACCTGTAGAAATCTACAAATGTCTCTTGATTTATTAATGTGGCAGCTGGAGAAAAGAATTATCTTAAATATTTTATTTTATAACATTTTTTAATTGATAGGTTGTTTGAAAGTAGTATGTCGCATAATTAAACTTATCAGTCATTTAATCTCTGTCTTGGTAATGTGACAGGTGTGCTATAAAAAATTCATAGTTGTAGATGTTTTAAAGTAGCAGAAAAGAAGATGGAATAATTACTGAGGAAGGAAATATTACAAAATGTCATTAATTTCAAACCCATAGGTAATTTTTGTAAGGCATTTTGGGTGTAACGTCATGAAAACTGACATTTTAAAAGTAGCCACTGGATATATAATAAAGCTTTAAAAATATATAAATTGTCGTATGCTTTTTCAGCTATATTTGATGGATAATCCTGTTAGAAAAACTAGTAGTATTTATTCTAAAATGGTAATGTTTCTACTTCATTTTTAGGAGCATATGCAGGAAGAACCCAAAGAAAGAAGCCAAATGTTGTGACAATTTAAGAAGACAGCACTCACTGGGATAAAATGGCTGTTCTTTAATGATGGCATTCTCAGCACTGATTGACATAATGCATCTCCTATGCATATATGTATATTTAGAAATTATAAACATATTTTGTCATTTCCAGATGATGACACATTAATACAATCATATTGAAGTAATAAAGGGCTGTGAAGCTTGAATACCTGTGGAAAAAGTGCATGCTAAAACTTATATATTCATACTGCTACATGCACATAAGATTATTAATCTTGTTTGTTTAAAGACCACCACAGGGCAACATTAATTTGTGACTTTTTCCCACTCTTAATTCTTGTGTCTGACACACACTTTTTGCATTACTTCAAATCACAATTTCTGTGTGTGACTGAGATTACCTCAATTTAAATACTAATGGCCTACATGTTTTGCATTTCTGCTGAGTTGGACAGACATGGATACAGATTCACTGCTCACCAGACAGAAGTACTTTCAAAGACTATACTGAAACAGTGCTTTTATACATGAGGTAGATCAAACTGATGTGCTGAAAGAGTCCTAGGATTTTTTTTCCTTGCTGTCTACAGCATTTTCTTATGGAACAACTTTTGGCCAAGATGAAGTGAGAAGTGTACGTGCTACAAAAATTTCAGAAGGCAAGATTTTAATTGTTTTACCATTTCAGACTTACAAGTGATTGTTCATAATAATAATTCAGGTATCTTTTGTTTCATTGATGACAGTCATGATTTTTCTGAGCAGTTGCTCTTCTACAGTGACCTGACAGGCCCTTGTACCGAAATAATGGTTCCAAGGAGGAAAAATACCCCTATTAAATCCCAGCAAACATTTTCTCATATTTGGAATAATCTTAACATTAAAAGATCGTGCTTATATTTTCCCTTGGCTTTCCTCCTGATGGATATTATCCTTCAACTCGAGCAGAATTCTGTAACTTCTTTTAATTAACTTGGCACATTAATAGGGAATTGATAAGGAAGAGCTTGGCTGTGTGTGTCTTTGCAGTGCTTACTTTGCTCTGCAACAGTAGTAGTAGAGAGCTGACTAACAGAATGTGAAACGGATTGTATATTGTTACTTTCTCAGTATGGATACAGTGCAACACCCTGACTTTGAAGGCTTTGTAACATATTTATATGGCTATAAGAAAAAAGGCTGACCAAAAATTTCCTTGTGTTAAATAGCATGAAAGAGGAACATTAATGGTGGGGTGAGGAGAGTGTCTTCAGGGCAGCAACGAGTGAATTGTCTTGCTTGTGGCACTGGTTGTGCCTTTCATCTGCGACCACGTCTGTGCTTTGCAGCTGGTGACATTGTTCAGAACACACGTTTTATACCATGCAGTAAGTTACCCAAAGTGCACACCTGGGCAGTGAGGAAATGCTGCCTGAATGCTTTGAAGAACACCACTGCTTGGCAGCTCTTTGCCACGGCATTTATTTAAGAGCCTGCGGTGGGGGTTCCTCATGGTGTATATTTAAGAGTTTTCATCAGTGGAGGACCTGTCTCCCCCATACAAACGCTGTGATCCTCAAAATGCCAGGTGTAATGCCGGAAATGCCTGAGGCAAGCTTCCCACTCCCCCACGGAAGCTCCAGTTTGGTTCCCACCTTTCCTTGGGAGTGGAAAACAGCTCGAGGGGAAACATTTACCTTGACGAGAGTGACCTGTGTGCCAGGCGACAAGATGTGCTGTTGGTATATCAGTGCTAAAGGTGGATGTTTTTAAGGGGTGGTTTATGTGCTGTATTTATTATTAGCATAGGTGATATGTTGATGTAAAATTAGGTTTAGTTTAAGTGTTGGTAAAAATGAATGCTTGCCTTCTGTTCAGGTTTCACATCTAAACCTTTCTTACTTTAAGCATGCTTCCAGTGTGTGTATTAAACCATTCTAGCACAAGGGTTTTTTTAACTTTCACGAGGCCTTTTCTTCTTGACAAGTGCCAGAATTTGTTTTCGTACTTGGTGTTTTGTATTTATACCTATTTATCTTTTCGTTTTGTGTGGAACTGTGACATCGTTATGAAAGTGTATTTATTTTTGTACTTCATTTCGTTTTCACCGGACACACTGCACAATAAACTTTAACGTCTTTGACAAGAACCGCCTTTCTCTCACCGGCCGCGCGGGGGCAGCCGCCGGCCCTGAGGCGAGGGGCTGGGCGGGAAATGCCGGCGGAAGGCGACGCCCGGCCGCGGCGTCATGTGAACGGGTGCAAGATGGCTGCCTTTCCCTGGTGAGGCGGAGGGCGGGGGGCCGCTGGCTGTGGGGGTCCCCGCGGCTGTGTGAGGCAGCCGTCGTGCTCAGCGCCCCTCACAGCCGAGGGGATGAGGTGGGGAGGGGGCTCGGAGAACGCCCGAGTGTGCCGGAAGGGGAAGCCTCGCCCTCCGGGAGCGAAAGCGCTCGCCGCTCCCGGGGCTCTTCTCCTGTGGGGCCTGAGGGAAGTGGGACGTCCGAGGGTGGCGGGAGGGAGTGGGGCGCTGGGTGCAGTGGCTGCGGTGCCATGGGGTCGCAGGCTGTGGAGGTGCTGACAGCCGTCCGGAGAGATGGGGCGGTGCAGCACAGATTTACAGCGCCGTGGTGTTACCCTGGGCTCTGCGGGGTGCCGCGGCGGGGACACGGGGCTGCCACACGGCAGCGGGCCCTCGGGGTCCGTGAGGGAGGCGGCCAAGGGAGCGAGCATCCCCGGTGCGGGTCTTGCTTCTAAGCGAGAAGGTGTTGGGTTGGTTTGATCACTTCATCCCCTCTGCTCGGAGGAAGGAGCCGCTGAAGGAGCGGAACCAGATGAAGGTTTCGTACCGTGAACCTGAGTTTACATCACAGGTTACTGGCTCAGTTTAGCTGCTTCTTTCACTGGCCCTTCGGAAGTAGAGACGGTGCTTAAGGGCTGCAAACTAAAGGCGGCTTCTTGCGACGTGCAGTATTTCTGCGGGAAAACTCGGTGTACAGCTAAAGAAGCTGCACTGAGTGGGACATGGAATAGCTTCGTCTGGTGGTTGTTGTGGAAAGGAAGGATAAAACAGGCACTCTTTCTGTGCCAGAGAAAAGGAAAATATCTTCATAGCTCGTTTTTCTTCAAAATCGTTTAAAATGAGCTAATTTTCTGTTTGTGTTCTTTTGTTGTTCTTTTAACACAAGAAATACACCCAGTTCTAGGTTTTGATGTGGCTGATGGGTTAGTCCTGAGAAAACTAGAAATGAAACCTCATGTGAGGTTCATTGACGAAAGTGATAGGCAGTAGTGAGAGCCAATTAGAGCATTAGGATGCCCGAAGGTATCTTCCATATATCCACTGCCATGCTGAAATCACTCTCATGACATTAACATGTGAGCAGAATTTCATGGTTAATAAAAAGTGGAAATAATTCATGGATTTAAAAGTTTAAAAGGTTAATAAAACCTCAGTTGGTTTCATAAAAACACCAGAGCTGCACTTTTTATAATGAACACACCGGTGCACTTTAAAACCTGAACCCATGTAGCTGAGGAAATTTGTGGATATAAGAGAGCTCTAACACATCTGGGTGCTGGAACTGTTGGTGCTTGGCGAGCACAGTAGTTTTGGTGGGATCTGTATGTGTGGTCAGTGAGCTTGCAGAAACAGGAAGGAATAAATGTGTCTGTAACTTACGAATTTCTAGCAGTACCAAAATAGGATGAAAACCAGGGCCTGCAGCCAGAAAGCAGAGCAGTGGGGCTGACAACAGTTTGGGTTTTGTGTGGTGCAGCACTGAGGTAGCTGGCTAACAAGTGGTAACATTGATGCAGAAGTGGCCATGGAGAAATAACGAACCAGAGTAAAATGTTCTGATGCGTGTTTTTCTGTAATATGGAAGATACTGTCTTGCTGCAGGGTTTAGCAGAACACTAGCTGCCTTTAAGCATTGTTGGATGCTGATTTTAAAGAGCTGTTTTGCAAACACATGAAGCTTAAAACCTAGGGCTAGAATTCATTTTTGTATTAAATATGTGTAAATATCTAGATATATTGTTTGAGGTTTATGTAAAATAACGATAGGTACATTCGTTTGTTGGGTGCACTTTGTTCTGTTATCAATACCAATATACCTCTAGTGTTGTAAAGAGATTCTTTTCCATTTTACCTGCCATGCTTGTTTGTGCTCCCTGTAAGCTTTCTGAAGCCTGTGCTTTAGGATGTTGGCAGACTGGCAATTGTTGAAGGTAGAGAGTGGTGGCAATTGCAGTGATGCTTGTGTGTGTTTAGAGGATTGAAAGCCGCTGTTAAAAGAGCGCCTGCAGGCAGGGGTGTATCTTACAGTATGCACTGGAGATGAAACCCTTGCTTGGCGCAAGCCTTATTTTAAGTTTACTTAAAATAAGTTTACTCTCAGAAGTTGGCTGCATTGCTGTGATGAAGAAGGAAATTCTTCATCTCTTTTCCCAGGAGAGTAAGTGGAACATCATTTCAGTGCAAGCTTGGACTTGCCCCCTGTATTAGATACATTACAAGCTGTTTTACCACTTGAATAGCCACATTGTAATGTACTTTTGAGAGACTTATTTGCAGGTTGCTGATCATTCACACGTGTGTATTAGACGTATATACTGCCTGGTGATGTCTCGCATTCTAATTAGAGTAGGATTGATTTTGGCCTGTGAGTGGTATGCCAAGTGTGAGCTGTCAGTGACATCTTTATTTACTGCTATATAGGAAATATCTGTAAAGATGAGGTATGGAAAGTTGAGTGGCTGAAAGTAAAATTTCTTCTGTTTCGGTTTTATGTATCTTGGTAGAGAGGGAAATTCTTGTCTTTATATTGACTTACTTTTCAACATGCGTTTCTTTCTGTTAACGTGTCTGCATCTGTATAGATGTGGGATGTGTTTCTCTGTTCATTAAGTATGTATATGGTTATTTATATGGATAAATACTTTCCCTTTACTCTTTTTAAGGCATGCAAGATCAAGAAACTATGTTTCAGAATCTGAAGTATGCAAACTGGAATCCATACCCTTGGATTTTGGCGATTACCATCCACTAAAGCCCATTACAGTGAGTTTCTTCTTGTCCTTTTGGAAAATTGAAGTGAATTAAAACTGATAGCATTCTTCTTTTTACTTCTGTTCCTTCAAAATTAAAATGCTTTGAAGCTGATGGTAGTACTAGTGAAGCTGCTTTCTGTTAGTGGCTTATTATGTTAGAGAGATCAAGGTTTATTCTGTTTGTCCTTTACAGAAATTTGCTGATGCTGTTATGGGTCAAAACCAGTCTCCTTCTGACAAATATAGCATTCCAACTTGTGGGTTTTCTTCGTTGCATTAAATGCTGAATAATGGATAAGTTTAAAATCAAATTGTTGCATTACAAATAACCTGCATAATTGCTTGATGTAAGATTCGGGTTTGGGTTAACTTCCAGTCAGCTGTATGCATTAAAACATTTATCATTTCTTTAATGTATGAGAGGCTTTTAAAACTATGGATGTACAAAAAAAATCCAGCTTCAAAGAAATGATAGTCATACAGTACTGAATGATAAATGGACAGCACCTTCTGCTCAGGAAGGTCAGTAGGGAGATATGGCGGAGGTCTTAAAAATGGACCTGATGTTTCAGGCTTGAGTATTGTACAAGAAAGTAAACATGAGACAAGCAGAGGAAAACAAATATCAAGGAGGAGGTTGGAGGAGATGGACAAAACCAATAAAATGGAGGGGGGGGGGGGCTGTGCTGGAAAGAAATTTAGAGTGGTTGTTCTTACAGTTCTGTGGACCTGGAATTGGAAGGGGAAAAAAAAAAAAGCAATGGAAATGCTATCAAAGAGTGCCTCCAGGTTCAAGGGTAAAGGAGATGCTTCCTTTTAAAT